AAGACAGAAGTTGTCAAACAAATCTGATTTCTTTTTATGAGGAGGTGAGCAAAACCTTGGACAGAGGGGTGGTGGTGGACGTGGCATACTTGGATTTTGCAAAAGCGTTTGACACAGTTCCCCACACTTGAAAAAATCCGTATGTAAACTGGCTAACAAATCATATTCAGAGAGTAGTGGTTAATGATTCATACTCTTAATGGTCTGGGGTCCTCAGTGGTGTACCCCAAGGTTCAGTGTTGGGACCCTTACTTTTTAATATATTTATAAACAATATAGGGTCTGAGATTAAAAATCCCATTTCAGTCTTTGCAGATGACACCAAGCTGTGCAGTGGAATAACGTCCTTACAGGATGTCTTCAACTTACAAGCCGACCTCAATGCACTGTTTAATTGGGCAACTATGTGGCAAATGAGGTTTAATGTGGATAAATGTAAGGTTATGCACTTGGGGGCTACGAATATGCATGCATCATACATACTAGGGGGAGTACAACTGGGGGAATCAATGGTGGAGAAGGATCTGGGGGTTCTGGTAGATCACAAGCTAAATAATGGCATGCAATGCCAAGCTGCGGTTTCTAAAGTGAGCAAAATCCTCTCTTGTATTAAAAGAGGTATAGACTCCAGAGAGAGATATCATATTACCCCGGTACAAATCATTAGTAAGACCTCATCTGGAATATGCAGTTCAGTTTCAGGCACCAATTCACAAAAAGAACATTGGGGAACTGGAGAAAGTACAGAGAAGGGAAACCAAACTGATAAGAGGCATGGAGGAGCTCAGCTATGAGGAAAGATTAATGGAACTGAATTTATTCTCTCTTGAGAAGAGGAGATTAAAGGGGGGGATATGATCAACATGTATAAATACATCTGTGGTTCATATAGTGAACTCGGTGTAGAGCTATTCACCCTGAGGTCATCACATAGGACAAGGGGGCACTCTTTACGTCTGGAGGAAAAGAAATTTAATCTCCAAATACGGAAAGGTTTTTTTTCACAGTAAGAGCTGTGAAAATGTGGAATAGACTCCCTCAAGAGTTGGTTCTGGCCAGCTAATTAGATTGCTTTAAAAAAGGCCTGGATTCTTTCTTGGATACACAGAATATAACTGGTTACTATTTATAGGTAAAGTTTATTCAGGGAATATCCGATTGCCTCTCGGGGGTTCAGGAAGGATTTTTTTCTATTGCAAGAGCAAATTGGATCATGCTTTGCTGGGTTTTTTTGCCTTCCCCTGGATCAACTGTGGGTATAGGACTATAACTTTTTTATGGTTGAACTGGATGGACTTTTGTCTTTTTTTAGCCAAAATAACTATGTAACCTGCTGTATGGAGGATCGCTGTTATGAAAGGAGGGAGATCACAGAGAAACTGCATTTCTTCACTACTCCTGTAGTTACCACATGTAAGATTGGTGGTGGGGGGGAGGGGTTATTTGTGCTAGTAAGGGTAATTGGGGGGGAATGTGTTAGTAGGCAGGATTGGGAGGCTTTGTGTTTGGAGGGGGGAATTGGGGAGGATTATTGCTAAGGGGGGGGGGAATTTGTGCTAGGAGGGAGATTTGGGTGTGGGAGTTTGTGCTGGGAAGGATAATATGCAGGTGGTTGTGCTAGGAGTGGGGATTTGGTGGGGAAATTATACTAAGATGGGGGATGGGGAATTTGTACTTGTAGGGAGGATTTGGGGGGATATGTACTAGGATGAAGGATTAAGGGGGGGATTTATAATAAGAGGGGGATTGGGGAAGAGGATTTGTACTAAGAGGTGGGATTTGGGAGGAAGATTTGTGCTAGGAGGGGGGTTTATGGGGAAGTATTTGTACTACGAGAGGAGATGTGGGGAGAGGATTTACATTAGGAGTGGGGATTTGGGGGGATTTGTACTGGGGGGATTGGGGAGAGAAATTGTACTAGAAGGGGGAATTAAGGGGGAGGATTTGTACTAAGAGAGGGGATTGGGGGAAGGATTTGTACTGAGAGGTGGGATTTGGGGGAAGGATTTGTATTAGGAGGGGAGTTAAGGGGGGAAGATTTGTACTATGAGGGGAGATTTGGGGAGAGGATTTACAATAGGAGTGGGGATTTGTACTGGGGGGATTGGGGAGAAGGTTTGTACTAGAAGGGGGAATTTGGGGGGAGAGTTTGATTTTTTTGGCCATGGAAGATTTGTGGTGAATTGGGGGGGACTTGAGCTGGAAGGTGGTTTTGGGGGGCAAAGATTTTTGCTGTGAGGAAGACTTGGACTGGCAGGATGGGGAATTTTTGCAGTTTTGGTTGGGTAGAATTTGAGCTTGATTATGGGGTGAACGTGTTGCTTACTGCTGTTTTTTTTTGGAGGGAGGGGTGGAAGGTAGGGGCACAGTTTGCTAGATGATCTTGTCCTGGCACTGCCCGCTTGCACACAAGGCACTTAACAGATCTTCACCTCCCCACATAACATGTAGCTGAGATCAGAATCCCTAACACAATGTGTAACTGGCTGCTATGGTGAAGTTCTGATCTGTGAAATTCCTTGACTGGATTGGCAGCTGCAGTAGCCAGCTACACAGTGTGGAGGGATACTGTTCTCAGCTATGTGCTGTGTGGGGAGGAGGAAATCTGTTAAGTGCCCTGCCAGCAGTGACCCTGTCCTAAACTCTGCTAACCACTGTCTTCTGCCATGCTGACTTCTGTACCCTGCCTTGTTAACCCCTGTTCTCTGTTCTGTTGACTCCTGTCCTCTGCCATTTTAACCACTGCACACTGACTAGATAACCACTGTACACTGCCCTACAAACTAATGGTCTCTGTTAGAGATGAGCGAATCGAACCAGGCGAACCGGAATTCGAGTCGAATTTCAGGAAATATTCGATTCGCGTTCGAATCCGAAATTTTGCCTACTTCGGGTGCGCGAATCGAACATTTTCCGATCAGCGGCATGTGTCTACTTAGCGAATCGAACATTTTCCCGATCAGCCGGCAAAAGTGTCCCTGCAGTGAGCTCGCTATTTCTGACAGTTCTCTGACAGAAGGAACACATGTTTAGCGGTTGAAACATTGTATCTATTAGTTTCCATTTAGGATACAGATGTTTTCAACCGCTGTACATGTGAAGAAGCTGTCAGAGAACTGTCAGAAATAGAGGAACTCTGCACATACACTTTTTGCCGGCTTGGAATTATTCTTCTTTTCATCCTACTTCTTCTTCTTCTTCTTCTTCATCCTCATCCTCATCCTCAGAAGAAGAAGAAGAGGATGAGGATGAAGAAGAAGAAGAAGAAGAAGTAGGATGAAAATAAGAATAATTCCAAGCCGGCAAAAAGTGTATGTGCAGAGTCCTCTAAGTGTATCTGCAGAGCTCCTCTAAGTGTATCTGCAGAATAGAGTTTCCATAAATGACATTCTGCAAATACACTTAGAGGAGCGCTGCAGATACACTTTTTGCCGGCTTGGAATTAATCTTATTTTCATCCTACTTCTTCTTCATCCTCATCCTCATAAGAAGAAGAAGAAGAAGTAGGATGAAAATAAGAATAATTCCAAGCCGGCAAAAAGTGTATCTGCAGCGCTCCTCTAAGTGTATCTGCAGAATGTCATTTATGGAAAAGAATAGATACAATGTTTCAACCCGCTGTATGGAGTGAATGTCCAAGAACTGTCAGAAATAGACTATTTATAACAGTTCTGGGACATTCACTCCATACAGCGGTTTCAACCGCTGTGACAGTTCTGGGACTGTCCTTCCATACAGCGGTTGAAACATTGTATCTATTTGTTTCCATAAATGACATTCTGCAGATACACTTAGAGGAGCGCTGCAGATACACTTTTTGCCTACTTCTTCTTCTTCTTCATCCTCATCCTCTTCTCTTCTTCTTATAAGGATGAGGATGAAGAAGAAGAAGAAGAAGTAGGATGAAAATAAGATTAATTCCAAGCCGGCAAAATGTGTATCTGCAGCGCTCCTCTAAGTGTATTTGCAGAATGTCATTTATGGAAAAAAATAGATACAATGTTTCAACCGCTGTATGGAAGGAATGTCATAGAACTGTCAGAAATAGACTATTTCTAACAGTTCTGGGACATTCCTTCCATTCCACAGCGGTTGAAACATTGTATCTATTTGTTTCCATAAATGGATCCATTTATGGAAACAAATAGATACAATGTTTCAACCGCTGTATGGAAGGAATGTCCCAGAACTTTCATAAATAGTCTATTTCTGACAGTTCTATGACATTCCCTCCATACAGCGGTTTCAACCGCTGTATGGAGTGAATGTCCCAGAACTGTCAGAAATAGTGTATTTCTGACAGTTATGGGACATTCACTCCATACAGCGGTTGAAACATTGTATCTATTTTTTTCCATAAATGACATTCTGCAATACACTTAGAGGAGCGCTGCAGATACACTTTTTGCCGGCTTGGAATTCTATCTTATTTTCATCCTACTTCTTCTTCTTCCTCATCCTCATAAGAAGAAGAAGAAAAGAAGAAGAAGAAGAAGAAGTAGGATGAAAATAAGAATAATTCCAAGCCGGCAAAAAGTGTATCTGCAGCTCTCCTCTAAGTGTATATTTGCAGAATGTCATTTATGAAAAAAATAGATACAATGTTTCAACCGCTGTATGGAGTGAATGTCCCAGAACTGTCAGAAATAGACTATTTCTGACAGTTCTGGGACATTCACTCCATATGAAAATAAGATTAATTCCAAGCCGGCAAAATGTGTATCTGCAGCGCTCCTCTAAGTGTATTTGCAGAATGTCATTTATGGAAAAAAATAGATACAATGTTTCAACCGCTGTATGGAGTGAATGTCCCCTAACTGTCATAAATAGACTATTTCTGACAGTTCTGGGACATTCACTCCATACAGCGGTTGAAACCGCTGTATGGAGGGAATGTCATAGAACTGTCAGAAATAGACTATTTCTAACAGTTCTGGACATTCCTTCCATACAGCGGTTGAAACATTGTATCTATTTGTTTCCATAAATGGATCCATTTATGGAAACAAATAGATACAAGTTTCAACCGCTGTATGGAAGGAATGTCCCATAACTGTCAGAAATAGACTATTTCTGACAGTTCTGGGACATTCACTCCATACAGCGGTTTCAACCGCTGTATGGAGGGAATGTCATAGAACTGTCAGAAATAGACTATTTATGACAGTTCTGGGACATTCACTCCATACAGCGGTTGAAACATTGTATCTATTTTTTTTTCCATAAATGACATTCTGCAAATACACTTAGAGGAGCGCTGCAGATACACTTTTTGCCGGCTTGGAATTAATCTTATTTTCATCCTACTTCTTCTCTTCTTCTTCCTCATCCTCATAAGAAGAAGAAGAAGAAGAAGAAGTAGGAGAAGAAAAGAATAGGATGAAAATAAGAATAATTCCAAGCCGGCAAAAAGTGTATCTGCAGCGCTCCTCTAAGTGTATATGCAGAATGTCATTTATGGAAAAAAATAGATACAATGTTTCAACCGCTGTATGGAGTGAATGTCCCAGAACTGTCAGAAATAGACTATTTATGACAGTTCTGGGACATTCACTCCATACAGCGGTTGAAACCGCTGTATGGAGGGAATGTCATAGAACTGTCAGAAATAGACTATTTAATGACAGTTCTGGGACATTCCTTTCATACAGCGGTTGAAACATTGTATCTATTTGTTTCCATAAATGGATCCATTTATGGAAACAAATAGATACAATGTTTCAACCGCTGTATGGAAGGAATGTCCCAGAACTGTTAGAAATAGTCTATTTCTGACAGTTCTATGACATTCCCTCCATACAGCGGTTTCAACCGCTGTATGGAGTGAATGTCCCAGAACTGTCAGAAATAGTCTATTTCTGACAGTTATGGGACATTCACTCCATACAGCGGTTGAAACCGCTGTATGGAGGGAATGTCATAGAACTGTCAGAAATAGACTATTTATGACAGTTCTGGGACATTCCTTCCATACAGCGGTTGAAACATTGTATCTATTTGTTTCCATAAATGAATCCATTTATGAAACAAATAGATACAATGTTTCAACCGCTGTATGGAAGGAATGTCCCAGAACTGTTAGAAATAGTCTATTTCTGACAGTTCTATGACATTCCCTCCATACAGCGGTTGAAACCGCTGTATGGAGTGAATGTCCCAGAACTGTCAGAAATAGTCTATTTCTGACAGTTCTGGGACATTCCCTCCATACAGCGGTTGAAACCGCTGTATGGAGTGAATGTCCCAGAACTGTCAGAAATAGACAGAAACTGTCACAGAACTGTCCTTCTTCTCATCCTTCTCATCCTTCTCCTTCTGCTTCATCCTTCTCCTTCTTCTCATCCTTCTCCTTCTTCTCATCCTTCTCTTTCTTCTCATCCTTCTCCTTCTTCTCATCCTTCTCCTTCTTCTCATCCTTCTCCTTCTCCTCTTCTTCATCCTTCTCCTTCTTCTCATCCTTCTCCTTCTCTCATCCTTCTCCTTCTTCTCATCCTTCTCCTTCTTCTCATCCTTCTCCTTCTCCTTCTTCTCATCCTTCTCCTTCTCCATCTTCTCATCCTTCTCCTTCTCCTTCTTCTCATCCTTCTCCTTCTTCTCTCCTTCTCCTTCTTCTCATTCTTCTCCTTCTTCTCATCCTTCTCCTTCTTCTCATCCTTCTCCTTCTTCTCATCCTTCTCCTTCTCCATCCTTCTTCCTTCTCCTTCTTCTCATCCTTCTCCTCCTTCTTCTCATCCTTCTCCTTCTCCTCATCCTTCTCCTTCTCCTTCTTCTCATCCTTCTCCTTCTTCTCATCCTTCTCCTTTTCTCATCTTCTCATCCTTCTCCCTTCTTCTCATCCTTCTCCTTCTTCTCATCCTTCTCCTTCTCCTCATCCTTCTCTTCTTCTCATCCTTCTCTTCTCCTTCTCCTTCTTCTCATCCTTCTCCTTCCTTCTCCTTCTTCTCATCCTTCTCCTTCTCCATCTTCTCATCCTTCTCCTTCTCCTTCTTCTCATCCTTCTCCTTCTTCTCATCCTTCTCCTTCTCCTCATCCTTCTCCCTTCTCCTTCTTCTCATCCTCCTTCTCCTTCTTCTCATCCTTCTCCTTCTCCTTCTTCTCATCCTTCTCCTTCTCTCTCCTTCTCCTTCTTCTCATCCTTCTCCTCTTCTCATCTTCTCATCTTTCTTCTTCTTCTCATCCTTCTCCTTCTCCTTCTCCTTCTTCTCATCCTTCTCCTTCTCCTTCTTCTCATCCTTCTCCTTCTCCTTCTCCTTCTCCTTCCTGATCTCCAAGGGCATTTAAATTAAAGGTACAGTGTTCTGCACTAATTTAAAGGCTCTCTGAAGCCTAGAAACCCTTTTTATAAGCCATCTTCATAGCGAAGAAATTCGCATCGAATCAATTTTCATACTGGAATTCGCCGAATCAGCCGAATCGAATTTTTCAATACTTCGCTCATCTCTAGTCTCTGTACACTGCCCTACAAACTAATGGCCTCTGTACACTGCCCTACAAACTAATGGCCTCTGTACACTGCCCTACAAACTAATGGCCTCTGTACACTTCCCTACAAACTAATGGCCTCTGTACACTTCCCTACAAACTAATGGCCTCTGTACACTGCCCTACAAACTAATGGCCTCTGTACACTGCCCTACAAACTAATGACCTCTGTACACTGCCCTACAAACTAATGGCCTCTGTACACTGCACTACGAACTAATGGCCTCTGTAAACTGCCCTACGAACTAATGGCCTCTGTACACTGCCCCACAAACTAATGGCCTCTGTACATTGCCTACGAAACTAATGGCCTCTGTACACTGCCCTACAAACTAATGGCCTCTGTACACTGCCCTGCAAACTAATGGTCTCTGTACACTGCCCTACGAACTAATGGCCTCTGTACACTGCCCTACGAACTAATGGCCTCTGTACACTGCCCTACAAACGAATGGCCTCTGTACACTGCCCTGCAAACAAATGGCCTCTGTACACTGCCCTACAAACTAATGGCCTCTGTACACTGCCCTACAAACTAATGGCCTCTGTACACTGCCCTACAAACTGCTGACGCTATCCTCTGCCCTGTTGACCTCTTATACACTGCCCTGTCGACCTCCCATCCTCTGCCCCCCTGACAATTTTCACTGCACCCCCAAATTAGATAGGCTAGATCCGGCCCTGACTTGGGTTTGCATTAACATTCTTTGTGAAGTTCATAAAAGCAAAGGACAGTATATTGTTTCAAATTGATTTCTATAGCTGTAATTTTTTTAATTGTTACTAATTTTCTTTTTTTTGAAGTCCATTGACTGCACTACCTCTCTTCTTTCCTACTTTCCATGTGTGTGAAGCATGTCTATTGCCTGAGGGACAAGCAGCAGAATGATGTGTAGGACAGCAGGGAAAGCCACGGTCAATCAAGTAGAGCAGGACTGCTCAGGGAACATGACAGCAAATCTGACTAAAGGACTACAGGCATGGAATGCATCTGCTCATTGCCTGCCAGTGCACCTATAGCCAGTGCAGTGGTTTGTAATCCTGGCTCTTCTACTTTTCTTTGCAGCACTTTCAGGATGGATAAGAACAATGCTCTGTCCCAGCGCTGACCAATCAGAATCGCTCTGATCTGACCTGGATGCACTGCACAGAGAAGATGAAGAAGAGTAGGATTTCATAGGGGTTTATTTACTAAAGGCAAATCATGCAGTTTGCTCCAGAGCTTAGTAAATGAGGTAAAGCTTCACGTTGTAAAGAATACCCAATTGCGTGCATATAAAACCAAAAAAAACTGCATTTTTGCTTGCACGTGCATGGATAATGGAAGTCAGCAGAGCTTCTGCTCATTAACTAAGCTCTAGAGTAACTGCTCTTGCAGAGTGCACAGTCTATTTGCTTTTATTAACTCAACACCACAGTTCTCAATACAGCACAAGCACAGTTACATCACCAAGCTTGTAATTAAGTTGATACTTCCTCTAGTTTTGTAGCTGAACATCCATACCTTGATACAGATATGGATCAAATTCAAAATCCTAACGCTGACGTACAAAGCTGTCCACCATACTGCCCCAAACTACATCTCTGACCTAATATCCAAGTACCACCCATCACGCACACTCCGCTCCTCACAAGACCTCCTTCTGTCTAGTCTCCTCCTCCCATGCCCGCCTCCAGGACTTCTCCAGGGTGTCACCCATCCTCTGGAACTCCCTGCCCCAACCCATCAGATTATCACCTACTCTCCTCTCCTTTAGGTGCACCCTGAAAACCCATCTCTTCAGGGAAGCCTACCCCACCCCCTACTAACTTGCCAACCTCCCCCACTCTTCCTACCACTCCATCCCCCACAGTTATCTCCTCCTGTGCCACCATCCCCTCCCTCCTAGATTGTAAGCTTGAAAGAGCAGGGCCCTCGATCCCCTCATGTTTTGCATTGTATTGGTATTGTTCTGTCACATGTTCTGTCCCCCTTTGTAATGTACAGCGCTGAGCGAACTATTGGCGCTTTATTAATACTGTATAATAATAATAATACAGATCTGTGGCTGGTGGTTGAGTCTGCAGGCGCCAGAGCACTACATCCATGATCCATTGATCCAATGCTTCTCCAATGCAATATATAATCAATGCACAGTTTTTCAATATTGGTGCATTTATCCATTTTTAATTTCAAATTGCCAGATATGGCATTCTGACATAGCTGAACAAAGGACCATCTTTAATTAAAGTGGAACATATCTGAGCTATCTAACGCAACTAGCCAGACCTTAAAGGAGAGGTACAGGCAAAGCTCTTTTGGCTGTCCTTCTCCTGTGGATCACAGGAGTGCAGTTCGTTCTGAACTCCTGCAACCCATTTTCAGCTGAGAGTGTGCTGAAGCCGGCTGTCAGCTTACATCTCTCAGCTGGTGCAGGCTGGGGAAAGATCCCGACTTCAAAGTCGGGCTCCACCCCAGAGTCTGGAGTGGCACCTGGCTCAGCCTCTCAGCACTGTGTGAGAGCCTGAGCCAGCCACTCCCTCACCCTCCACAGCCCAACGCTCCAGTGAGCGCTGGGGGGGCTGAACAGACATCGGTGACTGACAGTCACTGCTCTCTGCTCACAGTGGTTGTGAAAACACAGGGATCAGCGGTCAAGTGATCACTGCAATCTCACACTTGGAGCTGGCGGGTAACAGATGCAGCATCAGAGCAATGCTGCATCCACCTAGGTAAGTATGATTTAGAAAAACAAATAAATACCATATTTCTCTTTTAATTTCTATATTTTTGGCATTAAGAACAACATAAAAGCTCTCTACAAGTAATTTTCTTGAACTTTTATATTTCTGTCCTGTTGCCCTGTTTTCCAGGAATACATGTCTAGCCTGCTGCTGAATGGATATGAGACACTAGAAGATCTGAAGGACATAAACGAGAGCCACCTCTGTGAGTTGAACATCACAAATCCCGAAGAAAGGATGAGGTTTCTGGTGGCCATAGAGAACCTACAAGATCCCGACTGTGAGTGTTGCCTTATACGCTGTCATTGCATTACATAGTTTTGTTTAAAAAATTCAGTTCAGGCTGGTGGTAGTGTACGGCACACATTATGAAAATTACCTATATTCAGGCACACAGTCAAGTCGGAAGTGACTCATGCAGATAGCAGAGGAACAAGACAGCAGACAGAAATGACACTCAGTCCTCTGGATTGAGACAAGTACAAGCTATACAGAGGGATAGGCTTTGTTGATAGTTCATGTCTGAGGTTTACAACCACTCTAAGGCTAGGTTCACACCTATGCAGGTTGCGTTTTAGCCATTTCTGCATTGCATTTAGCGTTTTTGCCCCTGCAGTTTTGACGCGATTTTGATGCGTTTTTTAAATTTTTTTTATTTTTCTTGGTGCTAGGCAGATTTAAAACGCATCAAAAACACATCAAAATGCATCAAAAACATGGCAGAAACTCAGCAAAAACATCCTACATGCTTTTCTGCAGTTTCCATTGAAGTTTATAGAACCAAAAATGCAACTTATTGCATTCAAAAAAGTCCCAAGTTTCCAAAATACGCACCGGGTGAATACACGGAAATGTGAACATGTCCTTTAGGAAATCATGTTAAATGGACTGGACTGGACTGCTTAGGTGTGAACCTAGGGTACGTTATAGCTCTATAGTAAATGCCCATTTTTTATTTGTTTAAGGGAGGTAAAGCTGTAGAGGTATTGTAATGCTCCCTTTTGTGTCTCATCTACCTACCTGTAATAAAAAAAAGTAGTTTGAGCAGTCTGAGTTCATACATACAATCTTTAATTATGCATTTAATGAAGAATATAATAAAGCATGCATATGCAGCAATGCTTAGTCTTTCAAATATATGGAAAACAAACTAGCCCTTGACTGTGAAAATATAAACTGGAATAATACTTTATAGGTCAATACTGCCTGGGAGACTCAGGCAATCCTGTGGAAGTGGGTGTAAAGACAGGCAGCTACCATTTTATGTTTCAATAACTTCTTACGGCAGTCATATTTATTGCTTTAACGCTTAAATAGGTTGCAAAATTTCATAAACAGAAAATAAATTAACAAATACTGATTTAGCTGATTTCCAAAGAGGTTCTGAGGGCAGAGCTGTGTCACAGTAACAGAAGCAGAAGACGACTGCTACTCACTGATGTAGTTTTTCTTTCCTGAAGTGGGAAACTCTCTTAAAGTCAAACTCAGAGCAAACAGCAAAATGCCGTACATCATTGAAATATATATACAGGAGCTGCTTTAGCTGGCAAAGGATTTGTACATTTGTCTCTTCAGTCCTGAAATATATACCTGGCAGATTTTACAGCCTGGCTGGTGACCTGTTTTTTTTTTATCTTTAGCAGTTGGCCCCTTTCACATGGGACAGTTCTGGCTTTGCTCAGCAGGGAATCTGGCTGCAGATCCCCTGCTGAGTTGATCAGAGCTGCCGGATGACAGATAGGTGTCCTCTCCACTTATGCAGCGTGGATACATGGGCAGGCAGATGTAAACAAACAGGCTGTCCGTGTACACCTGACTGTCCTCTGATCCGGCCATATGGAGTGGAACAGATCCCCCTTCTGATTCTTTTGGCCATGTCAGATCGGGGGTAGCTTGGTGTAAACGTGTAGATAGGTGCAGTTTGCTGTCTCCACTATAGGTGGCACTCATACCGATTGGCACCTCAGCTTGGAGAGGTAGCCCAAGAGAAAAAACATTTCTCTATTGTTTTCTGGGTCAATGGAGCAGCATTACTTTTGGCTAAGCTGCACCAATGTGACCTTTGGTGGCCATCTTGGGTCAGCAGGGTCTATTTAAGTCCCTACCCCTGTGTTTGGCACATTTCAGGCTTGTGGGCTAGTGAAGACCCCGCTTGTTAGGAAAAGTAACTAGCAGTAGGGAAAGGTTCCTGGCAAGGAAGGGAATGATTAGGGACTTACTACCCTGGAAAGGAGCTTCCCTTTTGGAACCAGACCGAATAGGCCACGCTTCACCCTCTGAAACAGACACTGTCAGCACCTCACCTCCTACACTTCTGACTACATTGAAATGTGAGTTATCTCCCAAGAAGTGCTCTCCTGCCAGGGTGTCTGTAAGTTGGCATTATTTTTATAACAAGTCTCAAGGTTTGCTGCAACCAGACTCTGTGTATTTACTACCCGCACCACACTGCACCTCCTCACAAACAGACACTTATATCCGAATGTCTATAGAGGAGAATGGAGGATCCACTCGGGTCTGCTTGAAAAATGGTTAAGTCGAACCTGACTGGACCACCCATGTGAAAGGGGTGTATAGCAAAAAAAGATAGGTCACTGTAGCCTGTGATTGGAGAGTGAAGGAATGGAACGAGTTCAGCCCTTTGTTAACTTTCATTTTGATTTTTCATCCTGTCAGCATGTTCCTTATAAACTACCGTATTCTGCATGCAGGCCACATAATTAAAGCCTAATGCTGTCCCTCCTTTTTCCAAGAGTGAGAAGAAGCTGATACAAAGTTAAAACCAGAAACTTACACTAGCTGCATCTAAAAATGCAAATCATTATTGTTTAATGAATACATAACTGCATTCATTGGTGCTTTTAAAAACTACTTAGAGTTCAACTGTAAGAGATTTTTTTAAAACTCAAAAGTAATGTTAAGATCTGACACTGAATTTCTCCTATTGATCTCTTCCCTTACTGTTTGTGCTGTCTTTGCCTGTGGCTCAGTTGGAAGATTAACCTCTAAATCTAGAGGGTCCTGCAGAACTCTAAAAAATGGCAGGGCAAGGAAAGAGGGGAGAAAGTTCAGTACAACAGTTCTCCTCATAGGCTCTGTGGAGGTTTCGCTACCCAAAACGTCTTTTATAGAATGTCTGTAAGTCCTCGTATACACTTGTGGGTGGGGGGGGTCTGTTAAGAAATATGCAGTTGAGCCACAACAATCTTACCGCTCCCCAGCTGGTTGGATGGTATAGTACACTTGCCACGGTAAAAACTATACCCTATATCATATTCAGTGGGAAGTACTGCCATCAAATGTGACCCATTTAGGTGAATAGAGCCACAGCACAACTGCCCTGCAACCCCATGCAATACTGCATGCTTTCAAGGGCTAAAAAACAATCCGCGGTGGGTGCAATTACAACTGCAAATGTAGAAGAGCTGTAAAGGTTCTCATTTATCCAGGTCTTGGTATATCTAGTAGTAGTTAGACATATTCAATTGAACTTGTTTTGTTCAAAGCCTATCCAAGACACCTCTGCATTTCTAATGAACTAAAGCAATGGCTTGGTAAGCTATGAAAAGCCTTCAACGTTACAGAACAAGTCCACTGGAATGTGTATATTAATACCTCTTTTATAGAATATTTTTCAATAACTATTCTTTGTTTTTATGCCATAGCTTTCTATGCACACTCCCAAGAGGAGTGTGTAGAAGCCCTACTGTTTGTCCTACAGCTTTATAAACTCCCTTCGGGCCAGCTCACCTTTTTAAAGTGAATCTAGCCTAATGAGAGTCAAAGATCATCTATAGTCTAGTCCAGCCTTTCTCAATGTTTTTACTCCAAAGGAACCCTTGAACTAATTTTCAGGTCTTAGGAACCCCTGTTAAGGTTAGTCCAAAAAGGGAGTTATTGGGGAAATACTCCTTACATTGGTGGTGGGCAGTGGGAGTAATTCCTCCCTAACAGTGATGGTCTGAATGTCGCTTCTGCAGTCATGCTGCTGACGCTGAAACGTTTCATTGGACCTTGAAATATGCAGGTGCCTGCAGATGGGAAGTCAATCAGCCACAGCTCACGGAACCCATAGTCACCTCTGGAGGAACGCTAGGGTTTTTTACAGAAACCTGGTTGAAAATGGCTATCTAGAAAATCAAAGACTGCCTTTCTATTATAGGTTTTTTGCTAAAATTATACTGTTGATTTCACATGTCAGGCATGATGAGCACTGTTTGCCTCTAGTCTTCCTAAAGTACAGAGTCACATTAATATTTCCTAATCCTTGCTTCTTTAAGAAATAGTATCTGTAGACCATTGATTTGTGTGTTTTGACAGGTGGACAAGAACCGGATAAAGAAACAGCGCCCTTGACACTCAGCCCTGACATTTGCAAAAACAAAAGTGAACTCAACGACTGTCCTCGAGATTCAGGATGCTACATCACGTTGGATAATTCAGAAAACAGCAAAGAGGATACTGACTCAGAGAAGTTGTGTGAAGAGGTACAGAAAATCACCATTACAGAATCCCCCTAATTCAAGTGGAAACCACCCAAACTGCCACACTTGCTGCACAAAGCATTCTTTGCATCACAAAGCATCAAAATGAACATTACCTGGAAAAGAACTTCATGTATTACAGTATTTATTAATATCAATGGACATTCCACAATTTAGACTTTTATCTTTGGTATTACGGTAGAAGATGGAGACAATTGGTCTGATTGGACTTGATGGATCGGTATCTTTATTCAATCTTACCAATTATGTATCAATGAAGAGTCATTGACACTGGCAATGCACATGTTGGTTCAATTTGAAAAGAGTTTTTCATTTTTGTATAGCGCTATTTTTTATGCCAACAGAAACAATTCTCAGTGTGAGCTTGTCAAGATTCTAACCTTATGTTGTCCTGTGCAATCATTGTAAATGACTCCATGAATTAGGTCTGTCTTGATCACTGCAGGATACAAAAGCACTGTACCTCATTTAAATGTCACATTGTGAGCATAGTTCCAAGACTCACCTATGCTAGGACACATTCTCTGATGATTCCTATTAAAGAGGACATTGTGTGCTTCCTCCTCTTGTAAAAATTTCTGCTTCATAGTACTGAAATATCTACCTGTAAAAAAGAAAATTAGATAATATACTTAGCATACTTCAGCATCTGTGGGAGGAATGTGACTATCTTTCTAGGAGATTCTTGTAGAACAATGAAGACCCCAAATCCTTCAAGAAGCCCCTCCAGTCCAGTGCATTTTCTCTTGAAATTTGGACTACTTTGTATTCTTCAAAATATTTCAATATGGAGCTTGGCATCACTCACCTAGGCCCTGGGGGTGTAAGATGGTAGTCAGGTAACTACAGGGCCGGAAATGGCCATTTTTGGTATGGACACTCTGGTCTCACTATACCTCCATTGGGGCAGTCACCTCAGTTGGCCCCATGGATCGCATAACCCTGGGTGAGTATGTCATTACATTACTTCTGTACAGATACATTTTTGCAGTACTATGAGCCAGCAATTTTAAAGGGTTAGGACCTTGTATTTTGCCTTTTAAGGACAGCAAAGGAATAGGTGCTGGAATACCAATTTTGGATCCCTGTAGTGTCTCCCTCTCTGTAGTGTTTCTCTGTTGCCATAATACATGAGACAGCTAAGTAGCTATTAGGTGAGGACCTTGTCCCGTAGAACCCTAGATAAACTGTTTCAGTTGTCCCAGTCCTGACATCTGATATGCAAATGTTTGATCCTGGTCAGTGACTGAGTAGGTAGGTGTTTAAAGGTTGCAAAGGGCAAACTTCAAGCATTCCTTACATTGTCAGACAGGAAGAGAAAGGTCCAATCATCCTGCAGCAAACCTGAGAAAAAGGCTTGCATTTGTAATGAGCAGATATGGCTACCTACGTCTACAGTTCTAATTACAGACTATATACAGAAACAAATTTTTCAAGGTGTGTGGCAGAAAGCTCTTGTCCCATGGCTGTTAAGGTGGATTTTGTGGGAAGACAGCAAGTTTGTGCCAATAATAAATGTGAGAAAGTGCGAGGCCGTACCAGAGCCTTCATGTACCTATATCCTATGTTGTTCAGGGCTGTGAAGTAGCCCAACCTTGAAATAGATTCATTTGACTCATTGAAAGTGAGTCAATAGAGAAAGCTGAGAATTAGCTGCCGAAGTTTGTACTAACAATAGGTGGTATAGATTTCTATTTGTCAGGCGTATATAGAGGCAAGCCAACACATGGCTGTATGCATAACTTTATAGGTAAACCCAACATAATAAAGTACAAGTCTCTTACCTCCAAACAAGCAACAGCATTTGGAAATATCAAAGGCCTTAAAGCAAGTGCAATTTTTTCCTTTTGTTTTCCTTTTTAATGTCTACAAGAAAATGAACTCAAACATCTTTTTTTATTACTTTATTTCATCCACATTTTGGTACAATGTTTTGGATCCTCTTCTGCCAGTTCATTATGTTGTTTATACAGGGAGATGGGTCAGGCTGGAGCTGTAAATATGGCTTCTTATTTGGAATTTTGTAAATATTTTGTATTGTTTGTATGTGGCAATACCAATTTTGAATACTTTTTCTACACCATTCAGTGTGTTTTTGTGAAATACTAAATCTCTGTATGTGTAATTTTAGATTAAAAAGCACTGACTAGTTCTACACATTTTTTCACATAATGTATTGTTTGCTGGAAATGGCAGAATAAAAGTAGACAAAGCTTGTAGGTAGGACCCTAGCTATCCCACGCAGTCTTCACTCCGCTAGGTGCCTAGAGAATTACAGCACTGTCTAGGAGCCTCCTGTTTCATACATATAGAGTATCTCACGGAAGTGAGCACACCCCTCACATTTTTGTAAATATTTTATTATATCTTTTCATGTGACAACACTTCAGAAATGACACTTTGCTACAATGTAAAGTAGTGAGTGTACAGCTTGTATAACGGTGTAAATTTGCTGTCCCCTCAAAATAACTCAACACACAGCCATTAATATCTAAACCGCTGGCAACAAAAGTGAGTCCACCCCTAAGTGAAAATGACCAAATTGGGCCCAAATGGTCTCAGATGTGAATGGGAAGCAGGTGTGTTAAATTTGGTGTTACCACTCTCACTCTCTCTAGTCACTGGAAGTACAAGATGGCAAGAAACCCTCAATGGCTAAACAGCCTGTCCTGGGAGGTACACCAGCTCATGCCATACCCCCTGCATACATATAACAGGGGGGTGGTGCATCCAAAAGCACCTCGAAAAGCAATAACTTGCAAAAAAACCCACAATAAAGAAAGGATACAGCACCTCAATGGCTAATGAACAGGATATATTTATTGGATGTAAAAAATGACAATGCACATCCCATACATTCCCTCCCCCCCACCGCCTGCCCAAAAGTCCCCCTAAAAAAATTTGCCACCTCATGACAAAGACCTCTCTGAGGATCTGGAAAAAATAATTGTTGCTGTACATAAAAATTGCCTAGGCTATCAGAAGATTGCCAAGACACTGAAACTGAGCTGCAGCACGGTGGCCAAGGCCATACAGTGGTTTAACAGGACAGTTTCCATTCAGAACAGGCCTCGCCATGAGCGACCAAAGGAGTTGAGTGCACGTGCTCAGCATCATATCCAGAGGTTATCTTTGGGAAATAGACATATGAGTGCTGCCAGCATTGCTGCAGAGGTTGAAGGGGTGGGGGGTCAGCCTGTCAGTGCTCAGACCATACGCCACACACTGCATCACATTCGTCAGCATGGCTGTCGTCCCAGAGGGAAGCCTCTTCTAAAGATGATGCACAAGAAAGCCCACAAACAGTTTGCTGAATACATGCAGACTAAGGACATGGATAAGTGGAATTATGTCCTGTGTTCTTATTTGGTTCAGATGGTGTCAAGCGTGTGTGGTGACAACCAGGTGAGGAGTACAAAGACAAGTGTGTCTTGCCTGCAGTCAAGCATGGTGGTGGGAGTGTCATGGTCTGGGGCTGCATGAGTACTGCCGGCACTGGTGAGCTACAGTTCATTGAGGGAACCATGAATGCCAACATGTACTGTGACATACTTAAGCAGAGCATGATCCCCTCCCTTCAGGGACTGGGCCGCAGGGCAGTATTCCAACATAACGACCCCAAACACACCTCCAAGAGGACCATTGCCTTGCTAAAGAAGCTGAGGGTAAATTTGATGGACTGGCCAAGCATGTCTCCAGACCTAAACCCTATTCAGCATCTGTGGGGCATCCTCAAATGAAAGGTGGAGGAGCACAGGGTCTCTAACATCCACCAGCTCCATGATGTCATCATGGAGGAGTAGAAGAGGACTCCAGTAGCAACCTGTGAAGTTCTGGTGAACTCCATGCCCAAGGGGGTTAAGGCAGTGCTGGAAAATAATGGTGACTGCACAAAATATTGACACTTTGGGCCCAATTTGTACATTTTCACTTAGGGGTGTACTCACTTTTGTTGCCAGCGGTTTAGACATTAATGGCTGTGTGTTGAGTTATTTTGAGGGGACATCAAATTTCCACTGTTATACAAGCTGTACACTCACTACTTTACATTGTAGCAAAGTGTCATTTCTTCAGTGTTGTCACATGAAAAGATAGAATAAAAGATTTACAAAAATGTGAGAGGTGTGCTCACTTCTGTGAGATACTGTATATACCATCTATAACTGCCTCATAGCCCTTGCAGACCCAGGCCATCTGCTAACATGTGTATGGATGGTAGGCTGGAAACCCTGTGCTATACCAACCTCCTGGTCCTTAAGCAACATTGACCCATTACCAGTTTGGAGTATCCACTTGTATTTCATCCATGGTTCCAGGTAAAGACTGTGACAGAACAGGTGAACACCTTGGGCCCATGAAACATGGAGGGCCCAAGTCACCTAATACATAGAATCTGCTTTTCAATGCCAGGAGGGTGATTTCTTCCCCTACCACAACTTTCAACCTGAACAGGTTTACAACGTGTACTGTACATCCAGAATTCTGTTCACATTTTCTGAGTTGCACCTGTTCAGGTTGCCTGCATCCTAACATTGTACTAGCCCACTGTACATGCTTCACTCATGTAGTCAGGCATCCTCTTTAAATAACACAACTCCAGCCAGCAGCAAATGTCTTCTTTATTTATATGGCAGTAAAAGAGTACAACTTCCAACCATTGCCAAGGTAATAAAGGCACATCTAATTTCAATCCAGTAAACCCATAGCTTCTGGTACAGTGTTAAGTGCTTGTTCCCTGTCGATCAGTGCTGGATATCTGGTGCCTCAAGACTTGTAGCTAGGGAAGGTTCCACTTGATTCTATGTTACATTTCTCTCTGCGGTTGGATACACAATTCTCTACATTCTACTAGACTTCACCACCCTATATATGGGGTTCTGCCAGAAGGGCCAGGAACAACAGACCATATCCTAGAAAGAGGGGTCCCATAGCTAGGAAATAACAACCCTTTCTTCCAAGCCACCACTACCCCGTTTGTTTTTCTAGAGATTCTAAAAGTGGTAACCCTAGGTCAA